TGTTGCTTTAAGTACTTTACTTAAAATTAAAACATTTTTAAGCAATTCAGTGTTCATTAAAACCTAAATAAATTAAATTTTGTTTGCTTTAAACAGAAGATAATTGACATTATATATGTAAATATATGTAAAGCAATTTATTCAACACTTACATATATCGTTTCCCTTATTTTAAAATAATATATTTTCTGCAAAGTTTTGTAATTAAAGATTTAACTGATTTACCGTAGTATCTTCTTTTAAAATATTCATATCACAATGGGTTTCCTTTATTCTCCTGATAACCATTAACTTCAATATTTGATTCCTGATACACAAAATGCTTTGAAAATAAAATAAAATAAAAATATATATTCTCATATAATCAATACGAGTAATAAAATTGATTTATAAACAATTAATAAATTGTTTCCAGACTACTAATATTTCGGTGCTCTTTTCGTCTGCGGAAGTGAAACTAATAAGTTACTTTATATTGGCAGATATATCAATACATTTATTTTAAGAACGCAGTTCATTCCTTTAAGTATTTAAGATAATATTCTATGAAGTATTTAATACTAAAAGGAACGGGTAAAAGCATCCCATGTTTTGTTTAAGTTTATGAATGCTCTAGTTTCACTTAAAATATCCGGAAAGGGAGATTCGAGGCTTGGGGATTATATTCTGACGTAAATATTTATATTTTATTGCTTAGTTCTAGTACTTGTACGCGTTCGGAAGCAAAAGTTTGGAATAGAGCAGCACATTTCCTACATGGTTGGATGTAAAATAAACAGCAGATGAGGCAAACTTTAGCAAACCAGGTTTCTGCTTTATAAGGATGTACTTTGATTAATTAATTCAAACAAATAAGTTAAATGAAGCAACATATCTACTTTAAAACACACAAATATTTATTGTAAAATAAGAAATCATTTATTTTCTTAGTGAGTTTTGACAGTATCATAAAAATCTAAGATATACATTTAAATTTATTGGGTTATTTAACGTTGGAATTTGCAATTTTTGAGAGAAAAAAATAAAAAAAGTATCTTGAACATTTAATTTAACATTACTTCACAAAGATATAGAAATTGAATTTTCCATTTGCTGTAAATTAAGTAATTATTTATATAAAAAGGAACTTTAAAAAAAAATGACCCATTCAAAGTATTATAATTCACAAATTTTGAATAGCTCATATTGGAAATAAATTTAGGACGCCTATCTAGGTTGAAATAAGACTACAAATATTGGATTAAATTGAATGCATATCATAAACATCTGTTACTGCTCGAAAATGAATTATAATATACTACTTTATTGTGTGATTATAGAGTAATTTTAATTAATCCATAAAATGAATTTCGGTATTTTGGGGAAAAAAACAATGTAAAAACATTAAATATGGTGTACAGATTCGTTAATGGGGCAGAATAAGGTAATATTTTGTCTCGGTATGTTTAACTACTTACAAAACCTTATAACTTATGAGCATAGAATAAGAAATATAGAATACTAGCTGCATGGGCTTTCTCTTTCCCTCATGACGCAAGCAATTAATGTGTGTGTGTTTGTACGAGCGCAATATAAGTAATTTCTAAAATTATTTTATTAAATATCCCTTTTTGAAGTTTGTTCCACATATTTTCGATTTAAGACAGGTTTTTCCCCCTTCTCTTTAGCCCAGCATAATACGAGGGTTTTTTAGTGTAAAACTATTGTTCTCCCTCTTCCCCTCCCCCTCACACATAAGATGTAGCTTCACACACAAATTTCTATATAAACTTTTAAAAAACAATATTTCATTAGTTAAAAAATTATTAATGTGAGCAATAAAAAGAAAACGATTCTTATGTGCTAAGAGATACACAAAAAAACTTTCATCATTTTTTTAATAATAGTTAGTTTCTAAGAAACTAAAATAATATAATAAATTTCAGATTTTCGTGAATCAATCAATCGTTACTTATATATAGCTTAAAAATGTCTCTGAAATGTATTTTTATCCCAAATAATAGAAGATTTACTTTTTAATTAACAAATAATTAATTTAGTAATGAAATAATCGAAATAATTCTTTTAAAAACACACACACACATATATATATTAATTAAAATCCATTTTGTATAAGTAATAAATAAAAGAAAAATTTACTCATAGCTATTGATATGATTGCTTTTTTTAATGCTTGAATAAACACATATATATATATATATATATATATAAGTTATAAAAAACAGTATGGGTTAAAGCGTAGATATATATTTGCGTGTACTGAAAAAAAAATTAAAAAAAAATACTAACTGATAAAAACATTTTGATATTTTATTTTAATTTCATAGTTTTTCCTTCCACTGTCATTGGTTTAAAAAAAATTTTTGTAATGAACGCTAAAAAATGTAAATAATTTATATATCAGGAAGTGTTAAAACATTATATTACTTTTGTTGTATTTATTTTATGTTAAAATCTTGCCACCACCTCTCCCTCCGAAATCTAGTTTTATTATGAAATAAAAAAAATAGGGAATTACACTGATGAACGGAATAAATTATAAGCGAGAGCGCACTGAGGCATGGTGTAGACAAAACAAAAGGGATAAAAAAGATAGATGAATGCTGTCATGGGCTTTTTTGCAAATGGCAGAATTTTTTCCTGCTTTCTTGACAATTGTCGTTCTATTTTGAAAACTTCACACTATATCTTTAGAAATTATAGCCCATGTGTTATTTTGATTGATAAGCTATATTATTGTAGTTTTATTAAAATGCATTCAGTTGTTTTTGCGTGAAAGACGACGAAACATCCTCACAAACTTTCGCGTTTATACTATATATTAGGATTTTATAAGGTGATTATAATCTGACCCGAAGGATATATTTTTCATAACATGAAATTTTCATTGGCAAACTATTGAAAAATAGGTTATATATGCTTCTACACAGTTCAATATAACATTTTGTCCTTTAATAAATCCTAACTTTGGTTATAACATATATGCATATGCATAACATGTTATATGCATGTGACATCATGCTGTGTATATAGTAACATCATTACATGTGGTAGTGCATATTATAAAATTATACGTTAGTTTAAAACAGTGATTGCCAAACTTTAGGACTTCATGGACCGAAAATGTGTAATTTTATATTTGGCGAACCTCTAATACGAATTAAAAAATAAAGGTAAATATATATATATCATAATAATCCGATGACTTTTATTTTACTCAGGTGAAATGCACCCATTAAAGGTTCCGAGTTATATAGAGAGCAGTTAATTAAACAAAAGAAACAAAAATATTTTGCAATTTAGTGTTGTTTGGCATTTGCTGGCAAAAGTGCAAATTAAAGGTATACTAATTAATAAAAAAACATTAATAATTTAATTTTATCTGTAAAAAATGACTTAAAAATATAATATTTAGTTGTTGTCAAAATATTTAGAGGTAATTCATAGAATTATCAAAATGAATGAACAAGTCTTCAAATATACAAATGTGTTTCTGTCTCTTAATTTAATTTAATTGGGCGTAATATCTCGATTTTTCAAGACTTTTTAATTGAATAGTAATGAAAAATAAAGAAAATAAATAAATAAATAATATTAAAGGCAGTTATTCACGTTTCAATTATCTACCTAATTCTTAGTATTACGGAAAATTTTAAGCAAAAGGATTTGCTCGTCCTTTTGCGTTAATGCCTGCTTATAATTTATCTCCTTGCATAATATCCCATAGTTATAAGATAAGAGAAGAATGCTATAATACAAAATCAAAGGTATAATTGCACTTTTGAAATTCTGAAAAGTCTTATGAATAAAAAACTACTGTATTTATTCTGCAGATTAATACATTATTGTAACAGAGTTATAAAAGTATATATTTATATATATGCCATATATATATATATATAGTATATATATATATTATATATATATATATATATATATATATATATATATATATATATGGCATATATTATCGAATTGCGCACAAAGTGTTTCAATAGTCACGAAGGATGATAACGCCTGTAGCGGTTTTGAAAAATTTAAATATCACGTTAGGGTTTCAAAACATGATATGTGGAAAAAACTATTTAAACCCTTACAAAAACAAAACGTACCCATATCAAAATTCTTGGGTCCGCCGACCCGGTAGCGGTGGGAGCGCGCGTCCAAAAACCCCAACTTTGGGAAACTGAAGGGTGGGGGTTCGACCCTCCCGGGATTTTTTTTGATTTTTGGACCGTCTTAGATTAAAAAGGGGCCCCGGGGGTAAAGCTTATGATCTCGAAATTTTCTTTCACTTTTGATTGATCAATATTGTTTTTACTCTTTGAAATTCAAATTTGTTTCCCGAAAAGATGGTGAAAAAATTTTTGTGGTTTGGGTAAACATGGATTCGAACTAGAAAACTGACTAAAATACCCCAAAATGTTGAATCAAAACATACATGGAATGACGTTGTACTTTTAGGAAAAGCAGGATGGTTTAAGGGGGGTCCCATTTTCTAGTTGGGGATTCCTGGCTCTCACCCAGGGGCCCGGGGGGTTCCCGTAGGGGAAGTTTGGGCCCCATGGTGTAATGGTTAGCACTCGGGACTTTGAATCCAGCGATGGAGTTCAAATCTCGGTGGAACTTTTTTTTCTTTTAAATGCCCCAAAATATGGTTGTTTACCTCTCGAAAGGTTTATCCCCCTTTAAAAATCGGGAAACTGAAAGGTTTATAAGAGTGATAATTTTAATGCGAGAATCCTGTATCGTAAATTTTCTTTCCAAAAAAACGTACCTCAAAAATCTTGAAATACGTTTTTTTATCATAAATTTAAAATTTGGGGAATTTCATGTGCTTTTAAAGTGATACGTGAAAAGGAATAATTGTTCTCTACCGACTGGGTCCTCAAATTGACGTAAAATGTTTCTTTCGACAAAAATTAAAATCACAGTTTTTAACAATAGAATAATGGTGCAAATGTGAGAAAATTGGAATTAAACGTTTGCGTCCCGAATGACCCCATGTTGTCAGTGGTTGGATTCCCGGCTTTTACCCAGGCGGCCCGGGGTTGATTCCCGGCGTGGGGAAAAGGGGTTTCCATGGTGTAATGGAGCACTCTGGGGAAAACCAGGACCCAGTTCAAATTTTAACCTTTTTTTGCAAAGATAAAAACTAAAACAAATACACTCGAATTCAGAACTGTAAAAATTGGAAAAAACGGAATTTAAAAAAAATAAAAATTTTGATGATAAAAAAAATTAATTTATGTATATAAAACTAACAAGGGGTTTTTTGGGCAGGGAAAAAAATTTTTTTAAAAGAGGCTAATAAATTTTAAAATTTCTGTTAAATAGTTTGTTTTCATTGTTTAAAATTAATGCTTTCAGGCATATTTCAAAAAAAATTTTAAAATTCAATCCAATTTATATTATGCTCTATCGAATTGGACGGTTTTAATAGTCACGAAAATGATAAGCCTGTAGGGTTTCGAAAACATTTAATATCACGTTCGGGTTTAAAACCGGGTATGTAGGAAAACTATTTAAGAATCCTTAAGAAACAATGACACCCCCATAAAATTCCTTTTTCGTGGGGCCTCGGTAGCGCAGTAGAGCCGGGCAGTCAAAACCCAACTTAAAAAATCGAAGGTCGGGTTGATCCTCAAACCGGGGGGTTTTGTTTTTTTTGGAGCCGTCTTTTGATTGGGAAAACGCGTCCGAGCGGAAATGCTTATGATCTCGAAATTTCTTTTTACTTTTGATTTGATGCAATGGATTTCTTTTTTCCTTTGAAATTCAAAATGCTACATTTGGAAAGATGGTGTAAAAAAGGGCCTCAAACTTTCAAACTTGCGCCCCCCCTTTTCAATACAATTTTTTTCGCGAACCCCTTATACAAATTTTTTTTCTGAATGAATTAATGCCCCCTTTTACCCGCTACAAAAACAAAAAACCTAAAAATTAAAAAATTATTAAATTTTTTTAAAGTACTTTTAAGCAAAAAAAAAAAGTAAAAGGATAATTTTGAT